GACGAGTCAAGGCTCAGGTCCGTTAGGTACTTCCTGTAGAAGATTCTGTCACGCAGCGCCCTGCCGTAGCGCAGCAGAAACAGCGCGGCGATTAACACGACGGCCGTCGTAGCGATGATGACGATGGCGATGACCATCGCGTTGTAACCACCGTTGTCCCCGTCGCCACCTCCGTTGCCGTTGACCGCCGTGACGCCTGAAGGCACGGTACCCATCGACGGCACATGGTTCTGGTGACAGAATGTCTTGCTGATCTCGTTGCTGAACGTCCAGAAGTTAACCTTCACCGTCGTCGCGCCTTTGGTCGGCGGCAAGATCTTCAGAATCGTCGTGTGGTTGTCGTTGCCATTCGAACTGGCAGCCGCAGATAGGTCCTCTTGACAGTGGACGGCGTTGCTGTCCATTACGTTGGCTTTGTTGGCCGGCAGCCAGGTCTGCAGCAGGAATCGATTGCCGCAGTCGCATTTCCATGGGTTGCCGCTGAGGCTGATAGTGACCACCGGCGAGGGCAGCGAGGCGACGGCCGGCGGCAGAAGCTGTAGCAAGTTGCCGTGCAACGTCACCAGCTGCAAACTGGGCATGTGCGCGAACGCATCTGCACTTAACGAAGAAATGCGATTATTATGCAAGTAGAAATGACTGAGATTGGGTATATTGAAGAACTCGTCTCCCTGCAGTTGCGTGATGAAGTTGTCACTGAGGTCGAGCGTGCTGAGGAACGTCAGACCGCTGAAAGCTTTCGGCGAGATGTTGTAGATTTCGCTATTGTTCAGGTACAGCTGTCTGAGGCGATACCTACCAAAAAATGCATGTCGCTCCAAACTAAAGAAGTAGGTGCCATCCAGGAAGATGTCGGTCGCCCGCATCGGGATGTTCCTCGGCGATACAGCATTGCGGCGTTGGTGACGGCACTCGACAACGTTGATCTTGTGCGCGAAGTCGTGCAGACACGTGCAACCGGCCGCCGGACAGATGCTCTTGCAATCGCAGCTCTCGAACTCACAGCACACGCAATCGTCTGCGCACAGATTATGGTAAGCGCATAGGAAGTGGAAATTGGCTAGTCGCTGCAGGTTGTGCTGCTTTAACGTGCCCGAGTAAGACTCGAAACAGGACACAGCATCGTGATCGGATATCGTCGGAAAACTGCCGGTCAGCACCTGCTCCGAGTCCACGCTCAGCCACTGGCTGCGGCAAGAGCAAGACAGCGGGTTACCGCGCAGGAAGACGATCGGCTGAACGGCCACCATCCCGTGGATCTCGAATATCGTGTAGTTTGCCTCGCGGATCTTGTTGAAGCTCAGATCGACGATCATCAAAGCCTTGTCCTGCGAATACAGGTGACCGGTGATTTCGTCGATTACGTTGTGGCTGACGTTCAGCGTCTCGAGCGACGGCGGCAGGAAATGCGCCTGTAAATGCCGCAGGTTGTTGAAGGAAAAGTCGGCGTGACGAACGCCACTCGGCCGCATGCTCTGCAGGAAGTTGGTAATCACCTCGATGCGGTTATGGCTCGCGTACAGCTGGCGCAGGCCCGGCGGCAGCAGGCCGAAGTCGACACTCCTGATCTGGTTGTTGCTAACGTTGAGAGTGATGAGTCGCTGCAGGTTCACCAGCACGGCTGCGATGTCGCCGAGGGCGTTCATCTGCAGGCGCAGGTGCTTCAAGTTGACGACCCCATCGAAGCAGTTGATCGACAGCTCCCTGATGGCGTTCGTCGACAGGTCGAGGCTCTCAAGGGAGGAGCAGTTGCGGAATGCATGTCGGTCGATGGTCGAGATCGCGTTCTCGGACAGCGTCAACGTCTGCAGACCGGACATCTGGTCGAAGACGAACTTCTGAACATGTTGTAGTCGGTTTCGCGACACGTCCAACGACGACAGGTTCGAAAGCATGGCCAGCGCCACCGGGATCTCACTCAGCAGGTTTTCGGCCAGGTTCAGGCGTCGTAGTTTCGGCATGGTTGCGAATGCCCGATCGTCAACGCTCGAAATCCGATTGTGTCTGAAGATCAGGGTCGTCAGTCGAGGCAGACCCACCGCCGGCTGCCGTACGTGGGCGATCCGGTTGTGGCTCAAGTCAAGATAAACTAGCTGACCATAGGCGTCATACGCTGAAGCAGCGAATTCGAACCGTTCGATGTTGTTGTTGCACAGGTACATCTCTTCAACGGCCGGCAATTGGTGGGGTACGCCGTCGGCAATGGTCGTCAGTTGGTTGAAGCTAAAATCCACCGACTTCAAATGCTGGGCTGAATCGAAGCACGAGTGATTCAGTGACGTAATGTGATTATGGCTCAGATTCAATTGTAACAGATTTTCGAACTGACCGGCGGCAGCGTTTGAGTCACCGCCGCCGCAACTGCTAGGAATGTCCTTGAGGAGGTTTTCCGATAGGTCAAGCAGCTGCAGCTTTCGGGGTAGTCGGGGCAACCGCACGATCCTGTTTCCGGCTAACCTCAGCTCTTGCAGTTTTTCTAGGCGCTGAAATGCGCGTTCGTCGATTCGTTGCATGCCGTTCGCCTGCATGTTTAACACGTGCAGGTTACCGAGGTGGTCGAAGGCGTTCGGCGCCAGGTCGACGATGCGGTTGCCGCTGACGTCCAGGATCATGAGCTGGTTGTCGCCGCTGGCACAGCCGTCGAAGCCCATGCTTCCGAAATCGCTTATTGCGTTGCCAGAAACGTTCAGTGACTTCAGTTCCGTTAATCTGCAGAACATACCTTTGGCGATCGCCCCGACGTTGCTGTTCACCAACCGTAATTTCTCCAGCTTATGCAGCGAGTCGAACGCCTTCGGCTGGATATGAAACGGACCGCCGTCCCGGAGCCGTATGTCCTCGATATCCAATGTTTTCAAATGATACAAACCATGCGCGAATCCCAACGGCAGAAAGCCGTCATCGCTGCGACAGTGGCTGATCGCCAAGTGCTCGAGGTGCATGAAACTCGAAAACATACCCGGCTTGAACTTGCTGTCGACGGAGGTGATCTTAGTCGAAGACAACTCCTCGCGCTTGCAACTCAGTGACAGACTGTACATGGTGTTGCTCGGAAAATCGGCAAACGCATTCGGTTGGGCAGTGATGGCCGGCCAGTCGCATGTCACCTTCAGTCGGCCGGTCTCTTGTTGTTCAAGGCAGTGGCAGTCGCTCGGACAAAGTCCAGCGAAACCGCTGGCCGCCGGTGCCAGTGCCTTTGCGGTGCCCATTTCCGGCGTAGCCATGGCACAATCGAGAAACGTCGACAACAGCAGAAACAGGCAGCAGCAGCGACTGCGATGACCGTGCCCTCTGCTATTCATACACATGCATCTGTCGGTCGACAGGCACATTTCACGGACCTGAAAAGACCATCATTCATCACTTTAGTACCAGGCTTTCGCCGTCGACGTAATCACATCTGATCGCGAAACGTGTACACGAATACTCGCCACGGATAGACATTTAGACATTTGTCATAGCCTCTGCTTTCTTTGTACTCTTTCTGCTGTTAATGAGGAGAACGCCCGCATTAAAAACGACCGTGATCGTCGTCGCCACGTACTTTGGCAGCAGCAACAAAGACGAGCAGACGAGGAAGGATCGAACGAAGACGGTTCGGGCGGATCAGCTAGTTACAGAATGAGGAGGAGGGCAAGGCAAAACCTCCGACAGAACAGTCGATCGCATTACTGCAACACAAACTGAAGTGCAAAACCGCCGCGCACCGTCGCCTCCGTCATTCAGGTGCCATTTTATTGCCGCCATGAAGAGAAATCCGACGTTGAA